CTTGCTACAGCTGGATGGGAATCTGATGTCCTTGCCAGAATCTAACTCAGTACAGAAAGAAGAGACAGATGTTGAGATGCACTGGACTGATGGTTAGAAGAAGGAAGCTGTAACTGGAGCCTTCATTCTGCATCTTGGTGCTCATGCAGGGACCGTATGGGATGGGATTCTCACAGACGTAGGTTGGACATAAAGCTTACAGTAGTGCAGGGGGAGGATATCCATGTTCTGTTGCAGGCCTTGGATTTATTCCTCATTACCATTAGTGCTTGGTATGTTCTCATGCCTGTGTTTTCCTCTTTGCATTCCACGCTTCCCTTTTCTATCATAAAGTCCTTTTTTTTTTTTTTTTCCCCTTTAAAAAAAAAAAAAAAAAGCTGCTGTTAGGATTATGTCCTATTACTTAAAGTGCTTGTTCTGCTACGTGTACACATAAATTTAATTATATTGGCCATATGAAAGATGCATGAAGGTTCAGTTTTGGGAGGTATGCCAAAGATATCTTCTGAATGTGTAGCTGTTTGATGTAGGCTTGTGTGTAGTAATTGAATCACTGATCAAGTACTGTATCAGTGAAATAATCTTGGTAAATTCCGTGTACTTAAGTAACGATAGCCTTGAGGCTGTGGTAACTGGAGTAACCTCATTATTGATTTTGTTGTTGTTGATTGTGCATATCTTACACTTTCTAATAGCACCCTTTTCTGTGTTCCTATTAAACACAGCTGTTCCTGTGTCCTTCAGAAGAGAGGTCTCTCTTCCAATCACCTGTAAAGGTCTTTTTTGTCACTGCTCATACAAGGGACTTCTCAGATGTCCTTCTCATAGCCACTCTGCTGCTCAGCCACAGGGAATCCTGCTGCAGTGCTGCTCTGGTTTAATGCTCTCTGCTCCCCCCTCCCTCTCTTGTGGCCCTTTTGGGATAGAAAAAGTAGGGCATTCGCCAGTTCTTTTCGCTGCTTTCCGCATAGAAAGTCCTTGCTCTAATTCTGTTGTGCTTTTGTAGGAAAGTCAATTTACATCTTCCCCATCGCTTCTTGCATGTGTTCTTATGTGCCCTTGTATTTTGAGGGAGCCTTAACATTACTCCTAGGACCCAGCAACTCCATGAAGCTGAGTCACATGCTGTGTGCAGTGGATGGATTTGAGTAGAAGTTGCTTGGTGGGCCTTCGTTACAGAGCCAGTCTGAATCCCAAAGTGAGATCCGAGCACTTATTTGAGGCTTTTCTTAAATCAAAGCTGTTTACTTCACCCTTGTCAATACCAGATGTGACTTACATTATAAATGTCAATAATATAAATGAATGATCAATGTTATTCCAACATTTTTTTTTTGTTGTTAGTATAGGCATTACATGTGAACTCTTATGGTATGGCACCAGCAAGAAAAGCAGTCTTGTGGACTTAGAGCTCATGTCCCGAAATACACGATTTACGAAACGTGCTTTGTTGCTTTCTTTTGGTGTTCTGGAAGCTGAAAATATTGAAGAAAATGTCTGACTACTTGAAATCATTCCTTGTTCACTTCATGATCAGTAGTGTTGTTGCAAGTTGGATCTGACATGCTCCTTGAGCAGCTGTAGTCTCTGGTGGCGGGTCACAGTGGTTTCTTCGTGCATTCAAGAGATATTCCAGTGAAACTGAACCTCTGCATTGTGCTCAAGAGGTAAAGCATAAGGACCTCACTGTGCTTAGCTGAAGAAACAGTGCTAGGAGACGTACTAAGAGGCTGGCTCAACTGCAGCTAGCAGGTGAGGAATTGAGTGACCTCTATTCAGGTTTCATGAGCTAAAGCTTGCTTGTGGGTGAGAGCTGTGTGATCAATGAATTAAGTCTCTTGGTGTCTGGAGTCTCCTGGCAAGAGCTCCTGAGGTCGTGGACTGTGCAGCCTGGCCTGAGAGGGACGAGAAATGTTGGGAGGGTGTGATGAGATTTGGAAGCATCACAGCCCTTCCTGAGGAGAATCTCACTTTGCTTTGTGTATTGGCATTGTCTTTTCCAGCAGCTGCATCTTTCAAAACTGGAAGATCAGTATTTTTCTCTGGGATCTTGTCATTTTTAGTTTTGATAGTTTGATTTTTCTTTTTTCTTTAAATGAAAAAAAAAAGAAGGTCATTATCTGGCATTAGTATGCTTCCACTAACTGCTTCTGTCCATGCTTTTATGAACTGTGATGCCAATTCCCTGCTAGCAGGAAGAATTTATTGTTCCCCACTGTTTATTCTTTGATCCATATTAGGGCTGATGTGTGAAACAAAGGAAGGAGGAATATTTGATTTTTCTTAAACTTGGGTGACCCTACAAAAGAGACAGTAGAAACAAGGTCTTTGATAATAAACTGAAGTGATGTAAATACTTCTGAACGTCAGCTTCTAGATAGGGATCAAGCAAACTGAACACTGTGCCTGTTTGACATTTGAGGTGGGAAAAGCCAACGTTTGACATCACATCGAAAAAATTATGTCCTATTTCTGGTCTCTGATGGCAGGTGGTGGCAGGAATTTGACCTTCAGACCATTCTGTCACCTTCTGATCTTGCCCATTAACCACTTTTTGTGGCGTTCTGCCTTAATATGATCAAACTGCAGTTTCATTCACCCTTTTTTTTTCTTTGCATGTTTCCTGTGAAATAGAGCAACACAAGGATGGAGAGAAAACAGCTGTCTGTAACTGTTGTGTAGGATTTATCATAGCACAGGATGTCTTGTCTTCCTGAACATGGGTGAAGATTTGAATCTCTTGAGTGTTGTTCAGCACCCACCCTCACCCTGCTTCCAGAAACTTATAGCATGTCTATTTCCTCTAGTACTTAAATCTCCCAACATATGACATCTATGAGGGCTGTTTTGCTCAGCCCTCCTCCATCCCTAGCATTTTTAGCTTCTGTGAGGATACCTGGCCCTAGTGGAGTGTGTTGGCTTGCTGCAGCTGAGGGCACAATCCAGTTCTCTGCTGTATTGATGGAGAGTGGCAAAGTTTGTGGTTAGGTAGCAGCTCCCAAACCATCAAGCAGAGGGCAGTAATAAAGATGCATTTATGGTGATTTTTTATGCAGTGCTGGGGTAGATAAAAATTTCTGAAGTCTGTACAATGCTTTTCACCCAGGGTAATTGATGTCCAGGTTCTGTCAGACCTCTCAAATCAGCAGTGCCTCAGGCTTAGTGGAGCTCTCTTCCCTTTACCCCTAGCTTTTCTCAGTCTCATGCATTTCAATACTTGCATCTCCCTCATTTCTGCTGTGCTGTTTGGCTCTAGTTGCACTAAAGCCTAGAGGCCAATCTTTATGAAAATCAGATGGTAGCAGCAGTAGGCTCCATTAGCTGAAGAGCAGCTTTCTGCCACCAGAAAACATCTCTGTGTGACCCAGTCCTGGAAGGGAGTGGTCGTGCAGCTTGCTCTGAGCCTCTGTTGGCCATCAGGGAAAGGAGATCATACAAGATCTGTGCCCTCTTCGTTGTGCCTGTCCTGTTGTTTAGGAGAGAGATGGTTCCCTCTGCAGGTAGGCAGTGTTGCTCCTGCAACATGGAAGTAAATTTTCTGGTAGTCAATCAGATTTTGAGTCTTTTCCAGGTCAGGAGATATAATTTTAATAACAGCCAATTATCTGTTTTTAAAAAAAGAAACACCTCTTCTCAAAAGGCCTTTAAGATCTCTAGGCTCCTAACAGGTTGCATTTTCTTAGTAAAATGAAAGCGTAATTTCCCACTGCCTCCCACCCATGCCCATGAAGATGAACTCTACTTCTCTTTGGAGAACATAGTGAAGGGCTGGGCAGAGCTGGCACTGCTGGGGCACCCCCTGCACTGGCCTGTGTCTTTTGCTACTGTAGGCACCTGACTTGCATCCCCCATTGGCCTGGCCAAGGGCTGACGGTAGCCTCTCCTGGACCACGATATACATGATGGTTGTTTTGGAATGTCTTGAAGAGGAGTGGTGTCTCTAGTGAACAGACTTGACACCGAAACCTGTTAATTTCATGGTTTTCAGATATTTATGGCTAGCGTTCTAAAAAGGGAAGAAATGGCAAAAATGATTGATGGTAAGGGAAAGAAAAGAAGAGGAAGCCCAAGAAACTGTGCAGTTGTACACACGGAGCTATGGATTTCAGGCAGTTGCCCCTTTGAGGCATCTATGTTGTTCGGTGACTACAAAAAGGGAGTTTGAGTTTCTTTAAAGCTTCTATTGTTCTGTATGTTAATTTCCATTTCTACTCTAATTAATGAATTCAGTTTAAAAGTGCTATAAAAAGCAATTCTTGAAATGTTTTCCATTGCATATTTAAACACTTAAGAAATCAAGAAGACAAACCTTACCGTGCAGTGTGTAAGATGTGTTGCCTCCAAAGCAGTATTTAGAATCAATGGTCACGTTTTGAAATATATGTGGATGGTACCCTTTAAAAGTTCATGGCAGAAGGGCAGTCTGTGGAGATTACTGCTACAGCACATCCTGGGTTATAAGCACTTATGCTTTCCTCAGCAAAATGAGCTTATGAGACCACTTTAGCTTCCAGAGCTTTTATGAATGCCAACTCCATTGTTTAAAAAAAAGTTAAATAAGAGCACGAGTGTTATTTAACAAGCATAGTAAACAGTTTGGCAGTCCCTTAGGGAGCAACTGTTGCTGTTGAGGAGTGCAAATGGGGAAAACAAGTGGGGTTTGAGAAGGGAAGTTATTGCTGGAGCTTTCATTTCTCACAGAGATCACCAACCTTATGTTCTGTTTCTTTGTTGTGACGTTAACACTGTTGCAAAAGCAAATAATCTGTATTTACGGGATAAAAAAAGCAGGAGAATATAATTCTAGCATTATACAAAGATAAAAGAGAAGGGAGCAACTATCTCAGCGTAACGTGTGCAGAAGGACTCAGTGTAGTACAGATAGAGCAAAACATTTATTGGTTTCTTGACCTTAGAGCTGACTCAGTAGAAAATCTTGGCTAAATGTATTGTTTGTATGTGTTTATATAATCTTCTCTGATTTTTGTTCCTCCTTGCAGTTGCGAATTGAGGAGGAACGTCACTGATAAAATGGAGGTCAACAACTGAACAGCATCTTGTGGGAAAGATTTTGGAGGTGAGTAAAATTTAATGGTTACTTGAGTCGGACGTTCTTCCTATGGAGGCTGAAAAGTGCAGTCAAGATTTTCTGAAGTAGAAGCATTCAAAATGTTGGGAACAAACATAGAAACTGTGGGGTCTGTGTCAACTCCTGGAGGTCTAAACTGATACTGGGGCCTCAGCGTGCAATATCGTGCTCTGAGCCTGAAAGCTGTTGACTCTAGTCTCTATGTACCAGAGAGATCTGCTGATTAACGTGCCAGAGGATTTCTTTTCTATTCAGTGGATTTGAAGTACTTAATGCTAAGCTGAGCTTCAGATCCTGCTAGCTCAGATGTTAAGGGGATGGAAAATGAGAGAGTGTGGGCTGGGACGGACCAGAGTTACCTGTAAGGGCTGCTGCCCTCAGGGTCAGAGCTGCAGGGTGTGCTGGAAGCATGGCTTTGGGGGAAGTTGCGAGTGGGAGACTCTGGTCCAAAAGCCCTTTTTGCTGGCTCCAGGCTGCAGAATCTGAGTGATGCTGCATCCATCTGGGGCTGACACAGTTCCTGCAAAAAAAGGAACGTGCAGTACCTGTAACACAGCAATGCTCACAGAGGATGCTAAAGACAAGTGTGAAAAACAAGTGTGATAGTCAGATAGTTAGCAGGAGAGGATTTTGTGAGAGGTAAAGGCTGAGGAGCAGACACTAAAAGTGGGAGATGCTGCAGTCTGGGACATTGTCTGTGACCTCAGCTGGAGCTCTTCTTCAGGTGAGTCCTTGCAGCTTTGCAGCTACATCTCTGCATTCGTGCTGGCTCAGACTATCCTCCTGTACTGTAAGCTGCTGTTTAGGAAGAGAAATGAATTCTTCAAGCAGAAAGCCAAGATATCCAGCAGCTTCCAAACATTCCTCCCATATTAGAGGATTACTGCTATTTGGGCATACGTCACCAATTGATGTTTGTACTTTGTTTTCAAATTTGGTCTTCTGACTCTGTGAGTAAGCTGTGACACTGGGGATGAAGCGCTGCACTGTTAGCTTTGGGTTACAGCTTTGGGAGAGTTGGGTCTGTGTGAACAGCAGAAGTGCCTGTTGTTCTGGCTGTAGTTTGCTGTGAAGATGAGCATATCCCAGGAGATACAAGAATTGGTGTGGACTAAAGTTTTCTTTTTTGAAGACAGACTTGCTTGTATGTGGTCAAAAATGTGGGTTGGTGTAGTCATGTACCCTATTTGTGTCTGTATGGAATCTGCTCTGCTGTATGTTTGTTCTGGGAACAGTCTGGAAGAAAGGCAGAATTTTGAACAAAAGAAGGTGTGAAAATGGATTAAAGTGAGATGGTGGTTAGCCCGTAAACTTAGATAAGGAAACAAACCTTGTAGTATTTCAGGGAGGTCAAGCCTGTAGTTTTACTTAATTTCTGACTGCAGTCATAGAGACAACATCAAGGGGCTAAATTCTCCAAAAGTGCTCTCCGTATGTCCTCTCAGGTTCAATACTTAAAAACTTAACTTGTGTTTGAAAGATTCTCAAGTGACAGCCTCAAAACTCATGGAAAAAAAAATAATTCAAAGAAGCTACCTAAGTTGTAGTGATTTTTAGGCATCTTAAAATCTCAGAGGCATTACAGTCACTGCTGTGGTTTGGGTCCAGGCAGTGGTTACCTACATTCAGTAACTGCAGATCAATACAGTATCTGGCTCTTGTGCGTTACTGTGCAGAATAATAACAGTTCATAATCTGTACAGCTCAGTTTTCCATCTTGTGGCTCTAAAAATACAGCTTTCTGCTCACTAAACGCTGTCATTGCTGTCTAACTGTCAGGGTAGTTTGTCTGCTACTGGAGTAGGATACATGCAGGAATGTTATTAAAAATCTGGTATCTTCAAAGAGAAACATGGAACAAAGGCAGTGACAGTCATAAGCATTTGATTCTTTGAATACAGCTTTCACAAATAAACCTCTCAAACACCATTTTGCTGCAAAACTGTAAACTGTCATGAAGTGTGAACTTCACATCTTGAAGTAATAAAAGGAAGAGAAAAGGAGCTAATCGGATGCAGCGGAGCACGCTAGGTAAAATACAGGTTATGAGTAAACATTTTAATGTAATGATTCCTATTTATCCAAGCCTTTAAGCACGTACTCTGGCCCGACGTGGGCTAGCAGGGTTGTTATAACACACTGAAGCTGTTTGTTTTTTCTGCCTGGGTGATGCTTTTATAAACATCTCTTGGGGCTATCAGTAAAGATAGAGAGGCCATTATATTCTAATTGATAGTTGCTGGGTACCTAAACCCACTTATAAAATCATCTGAGTCTTAGAAGGGGATTCCCTGCTTGTTAGTGCATGTCAATTTTTGATGGACAAAGTGAGAACTGAGCAGGGTTAAGGCAGTCCCTGCTAAAAGCAGCAGGTGAGTCTCTGCGCAGAGCCTTTAGGTTGTCCAGCAGGGCAGTGGATTGAAGTTGCAGGGCTTGGTCCTGCTCCAGTGAAGCCCCCTGCTCAAGGGGTGAGCAGCCAGAGCACACTGCTTATGGAGAAGCACGACAGCAGTGCTGCTAACCCACAGCGTTACCAGGAGGAAGGAAAATGAATGTCTGATGTGTAACTGTAACCTAGCTGACTAGAAGCCCCGCTATCAGCCTGTCCCATTTGCTCTGTGTTTTCCTGATTGCTTTATTTAGTGATGTTTAGTATTCTTCATTCCTCTGCCATCTGATCTGTGGGGTGACTATAGCAGCTATCAAAAGTGAGGATTTTCTCTTAGAAGCACTATCGAGGCCAGCACTGGCTTGATGTGGCAGAAGCAATAAGCTCTGCTTCTGCTGGTCCGCCATGAGAACTCTTATCAATTTGTCTGTCACTTGCAGGTTTGTGCTGGTTCTCAGCCCTGCGGCGTATGCTGGTAATAGCAAAGTAATGACAGAGATAGCTCTGCTTTCTCTGCTTGGTGAGGGGGTTCTGCTGTAGCTTTTTTCCCCTCTGTATTTCACTCTATGCTTTTTCTTGTTATCTGTGCAGCTCTCAGAGCAGGAACCATCTTTGAACTGCACACACAATGGCGGGCATAGGCTCAGGCCTTCTTGGAAGAAGCCTTGTCCCACTTCTGGTTTCGCTCCCTAGAAGCTGAAAACTGTTGCTTTCAATGTTACTGCATATGAGAAAAGGATTTTTTCCTTAAATGGGAAGAAAGAGCTGGAGGCCTGGAACTAACAACTGACCTACTTATAGCGTGCACTGAGCTCACTGAAAAGCAGCTATCTGTAGAATTGGTCAATATTATTAAAAACAATACAGAAAACCCCTCTGTCACAGTAGCATTAGCTGCAGCTTGGAGCTGAGCGTTGTGAGTTGCAGTCTAAACAAACTTCCAGACTTCCCAGATCAATCCCAATTCAATTTCATGCTGTTTCACAGTGATTCTTGTAGCTCCCACAGATTTGTGTGTTTAAATCCTTTTTCAAAACACATTAAAAGCTGAGCTCAGCCTGGGTGAAGGCGGGCAGAGTTCCCGCTGGAGATTTTGGGAAGTACATTGCTTTGGCTTACAGGCTTGTCTGCAGGAAAATGCTGCTTAGTGTCTGGCTTGATGCTTGTAATGCTAAAAGCGCTATGGTCGGGGTACAAGCAATATAAAAATGGGTGTTTTGGGGTGGTATTTTGTTCTAGGTAGAGAACCAGCAGGTCAGCACGCTGCTTGTGTTCTTCTTTATGCCAGCAAGTGTTGGCACAGTGCTCTCTTCTCACAGGGGTCAGGCCCTGCTGTGTGCATGGGAAGCTTGGGCTGCCTGCACAGAGCTGCTGCTCAGCCCCTGCGTGGATTTACGTTCAGGATGTCACTGCTGTGACATTTGCCAGAACTTACACGATTCTTCAGTTTAATTCAATGTTTTATATATTGCTCATAGTGATATTATATGCCCATCTTTATTTTTTCTTAGTGTGCATGTTCTGTAGTGGTAATGTGCGCGTGGCAAACTAGTGACCAACTCTCTTCATTGGAAAAGCAGGTATTTGAGGCAGAACCCTTCTGCTTTCTGGCTTTCCTCTGTCTATAGTGGTCCAACCCATACTCCTGGCCGTTCTGGAACCCAGCTCCTGTGTACTTGTTAGCGGGTGAAATGAGATGTGTGCTCTTCCCTGGGGTACATCAGTGTCTCAGCTGTCCTGTCTGCACCAGCGCTGTCCCCTTGTCTTTTGTGGATGACTGCCATGTTAAAACTGCTGGAGACCAGAGCTCCTGCAGAAGTCCTCATTTGCTTTCAGACTGGCAAATAGTCTGTCTGGGACACAGTGCAAAGTGCTGCCTCCAAAGCAGGCGTGTTTTCAGGAAGGAGGTGCTCAAAGCCTGCTGTGAACTCAGACGGCCACGTTCTGTTCGTTGTGAAGGGAAGTGGGAGAGGGATTCTTGATGGCAGATTTGAATGTCTCTGCTCAAAACTGAGGAGCCTGGCTAATGAAATGTTGCATCTGTTAGCGTGGAAAACGAGAATCTTACTTTTGAACTAGCATCCTTTGACTAGCATAACATGTGCTTCCGAAGCACTTTGTTTCTGAATAGCAGAATAATGTGACGTTTCCCAGAAACAACTGTGACTTTCTCTAGAGTTTTCACGTCCTTCATATTTTTTAGCCTATTTCTCTTCCAGACCTGTGTTACTCGCCAAGCTTGTATCTAAGCCTTTCTCTGTCTGAGCTTCTCTGTGTAGCACAGTTATTTTACAAGGATTGTGTTTGTGGGAGAATCTGAAGTGCTTTCTTGGTACGGAAAACATCTCTGCCCCGAGGAGTTCATCAAGCCAGTCATCATGTATTGAACCTTTGCTGCTTACGGCTGAGCAGCCTCCTCAGCCCAACCTCCTGCTCTGTGCTGCGGGATTAGGAGCCAGCTCAGGTGTACTTCTGTGCACCATGCCAGACAGCTTGGAACTGCCTATGTACCTGGTGGTAAATTACCCCCACAGACAACCCCATTTCTTTACCAGTCAGCTTCAGTTGGAAAGGAATAGGATTTTGGT